GGTTGTTGCTTCTTTGCCAGTGACCCCAGACTTAACATGATTTTTGGGTGGGTGCCTGCATAGTTCTTCCTTTCTTCGGATTTATTCTTAGGTTCTCACTTGCTCCTTAGAGCCTTGAGTTCCAATTTCTGTGCTTTCTTTGACTTTCTGATGGTCTCTTCTCTGATTCTGCTTCTCCTCCTCTTTCTCTTCCTCTTCCTCTTTGAGGAGAAGGAAAGGTTATTGAGTAACAGGTGGGTGGATCATGCAGTAGGAGACTAGAATGTTGAAACGTGTGACTAGATCTCAAACAGGGTGTTGAGTGAAGGAAAAAGCAGGTTTTGGAATTAAGGCATGGGGGGGCAGGATACTTATATCAAATTTAGAAGCATAAAGTGATACTTGATGTGTGTTAATCAGTCAAAAAGTACTGACGTTATCGGTTGTCTCTTTTGTACAGGGGACGGTTCTAGGGCCCAGGGAGGCAGCAGAGGACAAAGCACAGCCCCTCCTCTCAGGGACCTGACATTCTCTGGAGGGAGATAGATGGTTAACAAAGAAGTAGTGTGTGGTAGATGTCAGGTACTCCGGAGAAAGCGAAAGCAGAGGTGTGGATGTGTGATGGCCTCAGATTTGTGCCTGGGGAAGCAGGGAAGAAAGAGGATTAAGGAAAATGGTCTATGATGTGGAATTTTTGTTTAAAAAGAAGAAAAGAGGGAAGGGACAAATCTTTCTCTAGAGTGGCAAAATGTCACTTTTGTTGACTCTGGGGGAGGTGAGTAATGTGTTAGTACTCTCTGAACTTTTCTGTATGCCCGAGTTATTTCATAATGAAAACAGTGTGAAAAAGAAAACGAAAGGCATATGTAGTTCCAGGTTCCTAAAAGTGAGCTCTGGATAAAAGACGCCCTGTCATGTGGGGCCCCATGCCAAAGCTGCCCACTGCTGGGTCTTAACAAGTCATTTGTGGTGGAGTACAAGAACTGCGCTGAGGCCCCATCCTAAACTGGACCAGGGACCAACCACGCTGGACATGAAATTGGCTGCTTCCACTCATCGTATTCCTCTGTTGTTCTCTAATCTGGCAGTGGAGTGTGGTGGAATGTGTTTGGCCCATAATTAGGAGCTTGCTGTCTGGGACTGTCCCTTTAGAGACACTTTGGGTAGGTGGACTTCTCTAGAAAGCCTGGCCTTCGCAAGGATTGTGCCTGCATTTTTAGGCCCCAGAGAAAAGACTTACGACTTTTTAACAGATTCAGAGCAGAGGACTTGCTTAGGTTATGTAGGAAGGCAGGTCAGAGCCTTGGTCACTGTAACCCCAGGCCAGACCCAGGTAGACTTAACCTTAGACTGTAGGCCTTGGACATGGGCTTTCCAGGAAGAACGGATGTAGCAGAGGCTATCTGTCCCAGGAAAGGGGATCTTTCTCCTTATCTATACCCTAAGTCTGGATGCTTAGGGATTGGGAGCAGATTCCAGAGAGCCTCTAGGCTGTAGCCTCTGCCACAGCCTCCTTTGGCACTGGGGAGAAAGGAGTCCCCTTCCACTACACTGGAAGCATGACCTTTGAGGCCAGTCACCAGAGAGCATCCTGGGTACTTGGCTCCTCTTCTTTAGCCTGAGTTGAGCCAGGTGCCAGGTGGGAGTCTCTTTGGGCGCTAGCCCTTCTGAAGTGTCCTTATAGAAATGCAGTGACCTCCCTGGGCTGCCTTCAGCCAAGGCATCATTGAGAACATGCCTCTTGAGTTAGGTCTGGAATCTGAGGGGTAGGGTATGGGTAGCAAAGGCCCAGAGATGGGAACCTGCCGTGTGAAAGGATGGGTGTGGTATAATATCTTGTTGGGGAGACATGAACAGATATCACCCTAGACCCCTGTTCATAAATTTACACTGTCACTGGGGGCCCTATCCAGTCTGACACCCTCACTGTCAGATGACAGTGTCAGGACTGATGCTGAGGGAGTTACACAGATCTGCATCTGAGACCCGTGGCCCAGCCTGGATGGGCAAGGCTGAGTTGTCTCTGATGCTCCCCTGACCCAGCCCCTACCAGGACGGAATTTGGAGGGTACTCTTCCTCTCCTTTTCCTCCTCACTTTTTCCTCTTACGTCCTGACCTGGGATTCTACCCCACTGTTGCTCAGCTCAGAACTCTAACCCCTGGATGACCCCATGAACATAGGAGCACCTCAGCTCTCTGTGTGCCCCTGTCAACCAAGAGAGCAGGATCCACCTGCCCCAGTCACCCTGTGGGCCACTCAACATCCCTTGCAGAGGCCTGGCGGCCAGTTTCATTGCTGTAGCCAGTTCATGCACTTTTTGTTTTTACTGAAGGACTTAGGGAAATAACAAATGTTGAGGAGATTCTTGGTACCAAAGCAGGCCCTGAAATTATAGAAATTAGGCAGATGGAGTGAGCTCAGGATTTGGAAGTAGCTCCTGGATTTGAGGCCAGGCCCTGCCAGTTATTAGCTCTCTGACCCTGGGTAAGTCACATTGCCTCAGTCAGCCTCAGAATCTTCAACAGAAGATGAGAAGATAATGAAAACTAGCTTCACTTAATGAATGGAGCAAATGCTCCCCACCTGCCTTACCAGCCGGTGCCGGGGCCGTGGGCAGAAGGAAAACACCGTGAGGCCCTCCTGAGAGAGTTAAAGCACTCTGGGTACACCTGGAAAAGGCAGAGTTAACTTTTTTTTTAAACAGTCAAACACGAAACAAAGTTTATTCAGGAAGAGAAAGATAGGCTTACAAAAGTAAGAAAGCTTACAAAATAGGATGTGCTCGCCATAAACAGTGAGCAGGCCTCTATTGCCAGGGCAAATAGACAAAGAGACCCAGAATTAACTTTTATAAAAAGACGTGCTAATTTTACACATAAGGCAATAGTTGAGGAAACAGTCAGTGAATGGGAGTCAAAATAAGCATATCTGACCAAGAAGTTAATGATTAAGAACTACTCTGTGGAGTCTCATTTATTTGGCATATCAGTCCTTAGA